ATTTTTCTAACTGACTAAAGCTAAATTCATTAAATCACCTCACCGTATAGATAATGATCTAATGATTGTGGACTTTTCCTTTAACTCTTCACTATTATGTTATTCTTATACTCATTTGTGTGACAATTTTTTCTATATTTTTGCTGCTTTAAAAAAAACATAATTTCCCAACTGTTGGACAATAAAGGGATTTTCTATTCTATTCTATTCTATTCTAGTGCCAGCCACTCTATTCATGGTGCTTTCTTCGGGTCTGTGATGTCACACACTGAAATCTGATTTCCTTTTATTTCAAAGCCAACATGAAGTGAAAGTACCTGCAGCTGGTCTTTGCTCTCCAGAGCTTTAGCTATGGCTCTAGCAGCGTCCACTCCCACGGTGTTTCCTTCCAGCCGCAGAGCTCTCAGACCCGGGTACCGCTCGATCTGGCTGACCAGCTCCCGCACTGAAACACGGATGGATCAGAACAGAGGACGGAAAACAGAAACTAAACGGCCTCATAAAGTGAAAACATCTTCTCACCTGATTCCGCGTCGTCGAGCTTCAGTCCCAGACCTTTAAAGCTCAGCTCTCCATCACCGACGTGTGTCTTGGAGAGAGCATCAGCCAGCTGAGCGATGTCCTCTGAGGCCATGTCCACCACCTGCAGAGACAGAACTCACATTCACAGCGCTAATAGAAGAGGAAAGACCTCAAGCTACGCAAAAATATATCAACATTTATCAGTTAGCCTCTCTGACAGCGGAAGAAACCTGCCTAAGCTAGCAGGAATAGCATTACCGGCGCTAACAACTGATAATGCGCAGCAATAAAAAAGGACAACTGGACAAACTTATATAAGTAATTTCTGTCTTAATTTTAACGATGATTAACAAAAGCTTTCATTAGAAAACTATTGAGTTTAATATTGTATTAAACTAACCTTTTAAATACTTTTCTGTTAAGTTAAATAGAGAAAGACACGCCGCTTCCTTCCGTGCCGCGCGCCAGTTGCTAAACCATGTGACGTCAGCTAGCCGGGTTCAATGTTTCCGGTTGCGTCATGCACCAAGCAGCTCAGCAACAGGTGTATCCGCGCCCCCTGGTGGCGGATTTGCAGACTGTTAGAGGATTTTCTCCCAGGTTCCTTCTGTGGAGTTTAATGGAAGCTGATGCTCAGTAAGTCATCCATATCTTTAGGATCAGACACCTGCAGCAGGGAGAGTGTGATTTGTAAAAAATAAAATAAAAAAATAAAAACTATACATCAATTAAAAAATAAAGTTTAAAAATAAACAATAATAGAATTTTGAAAAAAAATCGAAAAAACATCTATTATTGCATATTTCTTAAAGTTAATAATAGGTATTAATAAGTTAATAAAACTATTGATATTTTAAAACCTTTCAGAGGTCATAGCTAATGCTTGGGTTGGGGTTAAGCTCATGGAGGATTTTATGTAGTTGTGGTGAATTAACAAAATTTTACATACTATGTCAAATAAAGGACAACTACAATTTAACAAGCTCCTCATTTAATGATTTTTAGCTGATACTTGTTTTTACATTAATATTGATTTTAACTGACACATCAGTAATTGCTTCAATTGTTTGAATCGTGTAAATAAAGTGCCGTTAGAAGTAAAAAAAAAAAAAAGAAATCCCCTTTTTCAATTCAATTCAGTTTATTCATATTTTTTTCCCCTTGGCTTTTTTTTTTTCCTCTCTAACACTCAGTAGTAATCTTTATCAGAGCGACAGAGCAGTTTTAAACCCTGATAATTAAACCACACGCCCTCTCCAATGTTCCTTTTCATTTACTATCTCACTGTATTCGTTTCTGGCCTGTCAGCTAGTGTTTGTGATTTCATTCCCCTCTCCCTTCTTCTCTGACTGTTCATTTGGCCATCCTGTGCTGCTGCTGCTCAGCCTAATTACCACTGATTCCCCTCACCTGTTTGCCAGCCTTCTTAAGCTGGCCTCTGACAAAATGACATTGCCTGAAAGCCTCGGTTAGTAAGCATCCAGCATTTTTCTCTGTCTGTGATCCTGATCCTGATCCTGATCCTGATCCTGATCCTGATCCTGATCCTGATCCCTGATACCTGATCCGTTTCTGCCTCCTGTTTTTTTTCTGTTTCTGCCTAGCCCCTGTTGGATCTGTGTTTTTTTGTTTTTCTTCTTAGAATGCCTGGTAAAGGTCTGTTCCAAACCATATGAAACTTTCAGTAAAATATACGTTCTAATTTAACTATAGTTTTTTTCTTTCTTTTATAACCACTGTATAAGCTGAAACCCATTTTATCTCATAAAAAGCCTGGAAATTTTTTAAAGTGGATGATCCTCTGTGTTGCACCTGTGACCTGAAACTGTGTCATGTACATCCAACATGTGTTAATATACACTCACCGGCCACTTTATTAGGTACCCCATGCTAGTAACGGGTTGGACCCC